TTGAGGAGGCAGCAAAAGACAAGTGTTTCGCAAAGAAACCGTTTATTTTTTCGAAGATCATGCTTACAACTGATTGATAAAGTCCGAGATGTCGCTGTCCTGGCGGTTGGATGCCTCTAGTGGTTTTCTTTCCGTGTAGCGGCGGTGGAACCCCGGGGCGATGACGAGTTAAAGTTCGGACAAGATAGCGGCGAGCGGAAGCACCAAGAGAAGAGGGCGACGATCACAACAGGTGTACTCGACAGGAAGCCCTCATTTGCCTTTGAAGTTAGAGTTTTATAATTTTCTCGGGATCGAATCATTGCTAATTGGTTAAACCTTTTTCTTCTCGCTTCCCAATTGGTCTCCCAGCTGTCTCCAGGTGTAAACTGAGCTCCGTTTAAAGCGCGAGAAAGGTTGGCTAGAGATGGTCTATTCGACATCTTCCTTTAGACTCTGATCGCGTTCATAGTCATCGATAAAACTTTAGTTTTATCGATGACTATGACACCCACGCTCATTCTGACATTTTTCTAGTTTCGTTTTGCTTTCTAAACTGCGTCTTAACTTTTAATATTTTCCTTTTTAATTTTTTTATATTTAAAATTTTGTTTTTCCTTCTACTCTTTATGAGCGTCGACGTCAAAGTCTGGTGTCGCCGATTCGACACTTACACTATATATCATCTATTTATTATCTTCAGGTTTAACTTAGCAAATTTTTACATATCTTTTACGGGGGGCTATTTCCGAGGCCTCACAATACGTAATGATACAAAAGAGAGATATCATCAATAGCAGAAGATATTTGCATACGGAAAATTGAATAATAGGTTAATAGATTGAATAATAGGTTAATCAGATACTCCTAACGTGATTTTCTAGGTTTGTGTATTGGGGGATTCATGCATTAAATTTTTTAATTAAAGTTCGAGGGATGTGAGATAAAGGGGGTCGTGTGTATCTCCAGTAGGAGTGGGACTTATTGACTTAATTAGCATTTAAAATTTTTTATAAAACCCAACCCTACACCTAAAATTAAGGTTTTTGCCATTTTATAATAGTTAAAAATATAAAAATTTTTAAAAATAAAATATAACAACAGATAGCGGCATCAAATATTGCTGGAAAAGTCAAACAACTCGTTGCTGGATTTTTTCAATATACTACTGCTTAAATAATATTTATTATACTGCACTAAGTATAAATATTCGATATATGTGATAACCAAACAGTTTTCTAATGAATAAATTGTATTTTGCTATTGATATACATTGTAGTAGCCTATATAACTACTTCTCTAATTCCTATGGTAGACTATATCTCCACATTAGATGTTAATGTTTAATGTTTGTTTAAGTATTTCATTAAAAAATAATAAAAGTAAAGGCCAACAATGTTGCAAGAAATTTATCGGGCTTTGTTTTATGTAATAAATAAAAATTAAAAAAGTTATTGTCTTGTAAAATTGTAAGAAATGGTGGAAAATGTGTACTGACTGGCCATTCAATAAATGTAAGATCTACTTCCATTATAATGAATATATATTTTATTTTATTTTTGATTACGTATCATTCTGTCCTTTGGGCAAAAAGAGGGTCATGTTTCTTCTTTACCATCGAATTTTAACACAGTAATATTTTTACAGTATAATGTACAGTAATAAAAGAGCATTCTGAACAATATTTTTAACAATATGATGCAACAATAAGTAAATTTCAATTACAAATCTGTCGTCCCCTCAAGAAAAATGTAAACACTTTTCAATTTATAAATTGCAAACGAGTCAGTATGTAACCAAAGCAGGATGTCACATTCGAATCGATATATCAAACGTAAAATTAATAAGTTTATTGATTTATTAAACACTGACTTTATAGTGTATTTTGAAGACACATGGCAAATTTTCATCGTTTATATTTATTTAGTTGGTACTAGTGATGTAACGAATATTTGGTTACTATTCGGTATTCGGCCTATTTTTCGCTATTCGGCCGAATATCGAATACCTAAAAACAGGACTAAGAAATAAGAAAGATATGTAATGATTAATTTACTGTGTGTAAGAAACAACACAGAAAATTAATCATTTTAGTATTTAGATTTAATGTTATCGGGTTAGTGTTGTTTGTTTATATTTATTAAGAACATAATGTTAGTCACTTGTATTCACAATTTATAATTACAAAGATCAGCACACGTACACACCTATTCGTTCGAGAATCGTCACACACATCTGAGGGTCTGACCCTGCCTATCCTTCCCTTTCTGTTTCCTCTATCGCTCTAGTCCACGTATGCCTATGCATACATCATAATACGCCCTCACGATACTTTCGATTCGTCACTTTTCCGTCGTAGATTTCCCATTTTATAATTACGTGACTCGTAGCCTGGTGATAACGGAGAAAAGAGACAGATAGGCCGTAAGTATAAGTCACAGTTATGATTTCACAGATTCGAAACAGCTTGGTAGCCCGATCCCAGGCTTTCGCCCGTGCATGCTAAGTGACTTTCATTACAAGCATTTAGCTTTCCGAAGTCTATGACAACAATTGTTTCGCATTGACGGCCGCGAATTTCGCGCCAATAAGCTGCCTCGACTTGTTCGATTATGTTATCAACTCAATTTCATATTTATTTTCACATTTTTACTTTGCGGTTCTTCTCTGTTCTTTTTCCGTTATTTACACGTGTAGGTCATTTCATTGTTATCCACATTTGATATCATCACTTATCACATACTGCCATGACGCTCGTCTGAACTGTCAAGAATTAACGCGATTGGCGAAGCGTAGTGACAGTGGGCCAATAGAGAGCAGGGTTCTTGCCATAATGCGGTTTGCGCGCCAATTTTCGTACGTGCGTTAATCAAGCTATTAATCAAGAATATTCGGCTATTTGGCCACGATCCTGGCCGAATATTCGGTATTCGGCCTGAGGCCGAATATACTATTCGTTGCAACACTAGTTGGTACGGTACATCGTTTTTCTGTACGCGTTTCGGACTGTTTTTGCCCCTCCTCAGCCAACTATAATATAACGCATGTTGATTACTTATTACAGTAGAAAGTATGTACATAAAACTAATAAGTACTATACGTAAATGATACATAGACATATCTTTAAATTACAAATTGTATAGATTAAAATCGTATAAAATTCTATTTTACTGTTAACTTTCATAAATATCCATTTAAAATTACTTGTAAATAGATCATTTGTATTATTTATACATCACCATCACAAAGTATTAACTATATAGATGAACTTTACTCCCCCCTTCTCTCTGACATTTCTCTGATGTTACCACTTATGAGAGTTGGCCATCTTGTGGCAAAAGTTAATTACAGTAGAGCGTCGTTTATCCGAAGGTCGGTTATCCGAAACGTCGGTTATCCGAAGGAATTCCAGTCGACAAACTTACATTTTCGCCAGTGTTGTGGCGCTGCAATCTTTGGCTATGTCTTTGGCTACTTAAATATTTTACGTTTTTGATACTAAATTAACTTCTGAAGTATAATTTTTTATTGTTTTTATATTTTTCAATATATTTATTTTNAAACACTGACTTTATAGTGTATTTTGAAGACACATGGCAAATTTTCATCATTTATCTTTATTTAGTACAGTACATTGTTTTTCTGTACATGTTTTGGGCTGTTTTTGCCTCTCTTCAGCCAACTATAATATAATGCATGTTGATTACTTATTACAATAGAAAGTATGTACATAAAACTAATAAGTACATAAATAATACATAAATATACCTTTAAATTACAAATTGTACAGATTAAAATCATATAAAATTCTATTTTACTATTAACTTACATAAATATCCATTTAAAATCACTTGTGAATAGATAATTTGTATTATTTATACATCACTATCACAAAGTATTAACTATATAGATGAACTTTTCTCCTCCCCCTTCTCTCTGACATTCCTCTGGTGTTGCCACGTGTGAGAGTTGGCCATATTGTGGCAAAAGTTAATTATATTTTAAATTATTTTTTATAGTATATTAAGCCAGTTTTCATTTATTTTTAGACATAGATTTTTATTTATACTTTCTTTGCTTTTTATAATTTCTATGCTTTCTTTAAACTTTCTATTGTATGTTACTTTTTCTTTATGTAGTATTTTTACGTTATCTTTGTCTATATTGCATCCATTTAGAGCACAATGTTCATAAAATGCGGAGTTTATTCTGTTATATTTTAGGTCGGCTATATGTTCTTTTAATCTAACTTTTATCTTTCTTTTTGTTTCTCCTATGTAATGTTTGTTGTTGTCGCAGGTACACGGAATTTTGTATACGACGCTCTGAGCCTCGGTCGGTGTTTGCTGTTTTTTCCCGGGGTTCAAATTTTTCAGTCTGGTTGACATTTTTTGCTACGATGGTGCTAGTTTGAAGTTTATTTTTTCTATTTCGGTATCGATTTTTTCGTATAGACCTTTAATATAAGGAAACTTGAAATATTTTACGTTACCTGTTTGTTTATTTTGTATAGTTTTTTCGGATTATTGAGTTTAGTTTCCAATCTTTTCAGCAGTCTCTGTGGAAAGCCGGCTAGAAGAAATTTCTGTCTTAAGTCTGCTAGATCTTCGTTGACTTGTTTTGTTTTTTTATTTTAGTATATTCCATTTTAAATATGTTGTACTTGACATTTAATAGCATTTTTTATTGATATTTTATTGTTATTTGATTGGAGCCTGGTTTCTTATATGTTCTATATTCTAGATGCTGTTTTGATTTTTTTATTGTAATATCCAGATAATTAATTTCTTGTTTTCTTATGTCTTCTGTTTCTGTTTTAAATTTTATTGCTTCGTGTACTATTGATTTGTTTTTTTAATTTCTTCTGTGTGATTTTTATTTCTTTATATATTATTGGAATGTTGTCGACGTATCTTCTTTAGAAACTGACTTTATAGTGTCTTCAAAATACACTATAAAGACAGTGTTTCAACAATACGAAAAGGACACGGTTTCATAAAAAATACAAATTATAAATTTAATTATAAACTTTCCATGTGAACAGCCTTTTCATAAACAAGAGGACAATGAGTTGCCATTGATAATTCATACGCACTACCCGAACCTGGTTTTGATTTTTCGTTTTTTGACAATTTATTCCACAGGTGGATCAAAACGCTATTATTTATTCGCTGTAAAACCTTTTCTGCTGAAGAAGACGAGAAATAATCGCACCATTCAGTGTAATATACAGGGAAAGCTGTTATTGGGTCGAAAACTGTAATATTGCAATCGAGCTGTTTTGGCATGTCATCTATAATTTCTTGGTGGCAGAATGAAGAGATTTCTTCTGTAAATAATAACGGACCGATGCAGGCAAAACAATTACTATCGTATGATTGCTTGATGTATTCCATACACTTGTAAAGTATGGTGTGGTTGCGCTCCATTGCGAAAATACCATTACACAAGCTATTATTACTTTCCCTAATTACGAAATTCTTATAAGACGGGAAAGTTTTCAGCATGACAATGTCTAAGTCTAAATACATTCCACCATATTTCCAAATTAAAGCGTATCGAATGGCATCACTTAGATGGAATATTTCGTAGTCACTTTTATTCCACTTTCCTTCAATATACCATTTCAACAATGGCGTATTTTCGAATACTTTTTCAAACGTAATTCGTTGTATTCTGACATTAGGTAATAATGTAAAGTTGATATGTATGTCAGGATTTGATGTGAACATTAACACATTAATAAGAGATGAAGGATAATGTCTTGCAGTCGATTCGACTGCACATGCTTGACGAATGTTCAGCGACGAAGAATTTGATGTTTCAACGAAAAAAATATTGTGCTCTTCGGTGTTGTAATCTGAAGTATAAATAAAAATATGTTAATATATGTCATTTAAATCTTTCAGAAATTTAATTATAATTAGTGATAATAATTAAATGACATCGTGGAATTTTTATTTGGAGTAATACGGCTAATTAATTACAGTAGAGCGTCGTTTATCCGAATCAATTGGTGACTGGGGCTGTTCGGATAACTTATTTTTCGGATAACCAATTATGTACGAAAAAATATATTAGTTTATCCCGTGTTGAAATTTTTCTCCGTTGCGTGTCGCTTCGCGTTGAATTTTCGTCGATGTTAAGCCTAACGAAGACTATTGTATCGTTAAAAATTCTTTTTTTATTTTGTACGAATAAAATAAATATATTGAAAAATATAAAAACAATAAAAAATTATACTTCAGAAGTTAATTTAGTATCAAAAATGTAAATTATTTGAGTAGCCAAAGACATAGCCAAAGATTGCAGCGCCACAGCACCGGCGAAAATTTAAATTTATTGACTGAAATTCCTACGGATAACCGACCTTCGGATAAACGACGCTCTACTGTATAGAGTAGATTAAATTGGAAAAATACAACTCAACAAATGGGCAATGTGCCAAGTGAATGCTGACCTCGAGTAGCACTTCTACAGAAAATTGTGCAAAAATTCCATGTGCATAACCCGATTTCTATAAGAAATCGGGTTATGCACATGGAATTTTCGCTCTCCGAAAACTCCACGTGCATAATTCGATCTATCTGTATTTCCCCGAATGTTACTTTTCCGATTCCTGTTATGTCGTATCTCACTTGACAGAAGTAATAAAAATATATATTAATATTTTAGTAGTTTGCATGTTTTCTTTTGTTATTTTAGTAATAATAAAATACATTTTTTTACAACCAAAAGACAATTCGTTATGAAATTTCGCTGTAATTTTACATCATATGTACGCAAACTATATTTTCCCTATCGTATCGGAGGGAGAGTTACGGTTTCGTCCACAGATCATTCTTTGTCTGAGTGTAATAAGTAAGGTTTGTAAACAAATTTATGGAAATTAAGTTTAAAAATAAATAACTTATTTTTTATTGTTCTATTTTACGCAGTTGGGGATAAAAATCAATTAGGCTTAAATTAATTAAACAGCGAGTTAAATATGTTTGAAAACCATTTACGTTTTTTAAAATTTAACTTTCTGCCCTGTGAGAAGTGAGTTTTAAAACTCGCTCGTTTTTTTTTTTTGGTCATCATGGATTCGTCCGGGTGGTAAGAGACGATATTTATCCAGGACAGACCACCATTGAAATTTTCCTGGGAAATTGCTCGTTTCGTATTCCTTAAACCAGAGTACTTAACGTTCTCGGATTTCCCACTGTCTCGCTCTTTATTTGAACAAATGGTTATCACTGGATGTGAGGCTCACCATTTTCAAAAAGTTTGGTTGTTATTATAACATATATGTTATTGAATTTGCATTATTTTGTATAACTTTAACTTTAATCAATTTATTGATATGTTAAGTTAATAATGTAATCTCTTGATAAGTTGAAAATTTCATTGTATTTTAAACTATATATAGTTTAAAATACAATGAAATTTTCAAAAGAAATTTACAATACGTATGTAAGTATATAGACTATTAAATAAGCCCGGCGTTGCTCGGGCAAAAAGTAACGATAGCAAAGATTAAGGTTATTACATTATAGCCAATCTTACCCGTTTTCACAGAATGCAAGAATTAGTCCCCCTGTTTCCAGACTAATTAGAGAACTTTTAGATGGATCTAAAAATATGTTCGATTTTCTGCAAAAACGCAAAAAAACGCATCTGCGCCTGTTAATCTTGCACGCCACTTTCTCTTAACACTTCCATTGTTAACACTTTCATTCCTAATACTTCATTTTTAACCTCTTTTCCGCGGGGGTAATTACGAAAAATTCCTTCTTAGCGTACGCACCCTATTAAAACGCAATCAAAACCCCAAAAAACAGCATCTAAAATAGTACACTAGAACAGGGATGGCGAACCTATGGCACGCGTGCCCAAGGTGGCACGTAAGGAGAAATCATCTGGCACGTAATGTATCATACGATTTCTGTCTTTTTCAATCATCTTTTCGATTTATTACCTGATCATCCTATTTTCAATCAGCTTTTTTACATTTATTCTAATTAAAGCGTATTCGTTTAATTTCTTTAAATATCGTTATTCGAAGTCTGAAACTTTGGCACGCATAAACATCTTTAAAGTTAAGTATGCTTACAATACGGCACGCGAACACAAAAAGGTTCGCTATCCCTGCACTAGAAGAAGAGTTCTTCAGGGTAAGCCTTAATCCTCTCCCCCGTGGGGGGAGAGAAATTTCGAAAAATCCCTTCTTAGTGTGCGTTCTCGTGACGTACCCTAACTGTGTACCAAATTTCAACTTTCAACTCCTAATCGTTTGGGCACTGCGCTTATTATTATTATGTTGGATTTAGTGGGTTATACTTGGTTGATACCGGTGGCTGTGTACTATGCCGAACCAGAGTCAAGGCATAGCAACCAAAAACAAAAATTAAATAAGTGTGTTAGGGTCTGCATTCAGGAATTTCCTAACAATATGGCATGTATTCAATATAGTGGCGTTCTGTAGTTTGATGTATGTATTTCTATTCAATTGTAATGTTTCCAAGCTTTTGTGTAGTGTGTGTGGTATCACACCTGTATAGGAGAGAACGACAGGTACAATAAGCACCCTTTCCATCCTCCACAGATGCCTTATTTCCTGGGCGAGTTCTGTGTACTTGCTAATTTTTTCAGTGCATGTGTTTTGTACATTGTGAATGTTTGGAATGGCTATGTCTATAATGTATGTGATTTTATTGTGTTTGTCAATGAGTGTGATGTCTGGTCTGTTGTGGTAAATTGTTTTATCTGTGATTATGGCTCTGTCGTAGTACATTTTGTGCGTGTTGTTTTCCAATACTGTCTGTGGAATATACTTGTAGTATGGTTCGTGGATGTCTGCCAATTTGTGTTTCTTTGCAAGCTCTTGGTGTATTATATTTGCTACTTGATTGTGTCTATGTAAGTAATCTGTCTGTGCCAAGAGCTTGCAACCAGAAGTGATGTGTTGTATAGTTTCTGGCATGATGTGACATTTTCTGCATGTGTCATTTGTGAGTGTTGTATCTTTGAGTATGTGTTTTCTGTAGTTTTTAGTATTTATGACCTGATCCTGTATGGCAATCATGAATCCTTCCGTCTCCCCAAAGAGGCATCCCCGATCTAACCAGCTGTTTGACGCAGTTTTGTCAACAAAATCCTGGGCCAGGTCATAAGGATGCCTGCCATGGAGTGCCTTTCGAGCCCACGATTGCTTGATGGTGTCTATGCTTTTTATGTGTTGTGTCATGTCTGTATGATGTGAGTGTAAGTTTAATGGTGTGTTATTTGAGTCTGCTAGAGTTACTGCTTTATGTAACTGTGATGTTTCTTGTTTCTTGTAGAAAAACTCTCGCAGTGACTGTATTTGTTTGTAGTGAAGGTTAACTATGTCAATCAGGCCACGTCCGCCTTCTTTACGTGGAAGGGTTAATCTTTCTGTGGCGGATTTAGGATGATGTTGTTTATGCTTAGTAAGTGTTGTTCTTGTTTTCCTTTGGAGTTGCTCGAGATCTGTGTGAGTCCAATGTATAACTCCAAAAGAGTATGTGAGTACTGGGATGACATATGTGTTTATTGCTTTAACTGTGTGTTTTGCATTTAACTGTGTTCTAAGTATAGCGTTTAACCTACTTTGGTATTCTTTAATTAATCGTTGCTTTATTTGTGTATGTTCTGTTAGTTTGGCCTGTTGGAATCCTAAGTACTTGTAGAACTCGCCCTCTTCCATGGATTCAATAACGTCTCCATTTCCAAGTGCAAAATCTTCTTTCTTCAGGATTCCTTTTTCTATGTGAAGTTTTTTGCATTTGTCTAGGCCAAACTCCATTTGTATGTCCTTAGTGTATGAATGTGTGATTTGTAGGAGTTGATGAAGTTGTTTTTGTGTGGATGCATAAAGTTTTATGTCGTCCATGTACATGAGATGTGAGAGTGTAAACTGTGTTGTTTTTTCATGTCTGATATTGTAGCCATAATGCGTGTTGTTTAACATGTTGGATAATGGATTCAGGGCTAGGCAGAACCAGAGAGGACTCAAGGAATCTCCTTGAAAAATTCCTCGCCTAATGAATATTTCGTTTGTTTGTATGGAAGTGTTACTAACCCTGAGATGCAGTGTTGTTCTCCAATGCTGCATAGTGTTTTTGAAGAATGCAATGAGTGATGGATGTATTTTGTACATGTGTAGAATATGTAGCAGCCAACTGTGTGGAACACTGTCGAATGCTTTTCTGTAGTCTATATATGCCATGTGTATGTTTCTGTGTTGTTTGTGTGCTTGTCGTAGAATGACTGAATCTATGAGTAACTGTTCTTTGCATCTCGTGAAGGTTTGTTTTGGGAATATTTTTCGGATTCATCGTTTGACACATCGTTGGATAGCTTATTTTTTACGGTTAGTTTGATATTAAAATAGTCTGGCTACATTTATTAGGGGGGAGTTACGGGTTCGTAAATTTAGTATTGTTCGATCGGTTATAGCGGGGGATTTATAATATAAAGGGGTTTTTTTATATCGTTATACTATCGTCAGGATATCGGTTATAGTATCAAAATTTGGTGTCTTATGGGTTAATTTTAACTGTTTTAGCTCAGTTTTAGTGTATATATATTTTATAGGCATTCTGAGGAAGTCTTTGTTCCAGTTTTCTTTGTTCCTAACAAAGAACTAACGGTCTTTGTTATTCTCTTTCTAACGGTCTTTTGTCGATCGTTATATTATTTTATATTTATTTTGTAACAGTTTCTTCAGGTTATATTAGTTGTTTTATTTATTAAATTTAAAATAATTAAGTAATATATATTAATATTTTATACATCTGGATCTTAGGATTAATTATGTGGCTTTTGTCGTCTAATTGCTTGTGATTAGTATAGGTT